CGGCGGGTGGGAGCGTGCGCCTCTGGGTTTCTCTTCTCTGATCTCGGGTAATTTCATCCGCTCTCAGGACATTCAGCACACGGAGGAATTTTTCATCAAGCCTGAGTCCCGGATCGCCCAGCTGGACACGTCTCAGTGGCCCTTGCTGCTGAAGGTAGAGCGGGTTATAGACAACTTTGTGGCCCACTCCTGTTCCTTCTTTTGTTCTCTCTTAGTGCAGGCCCGTGGAGATGCACAGCTCCTTCTCTGTAACCCCACTGCTAAGAAACAGCATGTGTGACACTCAAAGCACAGGCAAACCCCCTGCATGCAGAGTTCATGTTATAAAGTTTGTCCAGCAGTATCATTTGCGTGCCTGCTTTCTAAATTTACCATTTCCTGTAAAGACCCCACCGGATTTCTTCAGCTATTTATTTCAGTCTGACAGTGGCCTGTGGTCTGTGTAGACTTCTGAGTTGCTTGTGCTGAGTTTCTGGGGCACACTGGATTTATCCTGCCATGTAAAGGTTGGTATTCTGCTGCTTTCCCATCTCTTTCAGTGCAGGACTTCTGTTTCTTTTTCTGTAAAACATTGTGGTTTCATTGTTGGGTCATTTTCATTTTGGAAGAGGCTCTGTCACTTAAATATACAATTCAGATGTTGTGTAACTGGGGAGATATATTGGGGCAAAGCAACACTGAAACCAAGGTTGAACACTTGTAACTTCTGCTTCAATTTTGTAGAACTTTGACAAGTTAAATGTGATGACAGCACACTACACACCTCTTTCTTCCGGTGCTAATCCCCTGAAGAGAGAGATTTCTGACTATGTTAGGTGAGTGCAATGAGGGCTAGAGTGGTTTATTTTTCTTTCATAGTTAACATCTTCAATACGTTTTCTGTTGTGGATTCTCCTTGTACTTTTTTGCCTGACTCAGTGCCTTGCTACTAACCACTAAATGTATAAATAGGACCTGCTGGTCACTTCCTGTAAAGTAGGCTTTGTTCTGGGGTTGTGGCTGGTCTGTGGATGGATGTGCATAAGGAATTCTCTGGGGTCTTATGGAAAGTTCTTTGGCCTGCTAGGCTTTGAGACTGCTTGGAGTTTGCTTATAGTGTTTCGTTTAGGTGTAGAGTAGTGATGAACAGTCTGGGGAGAAGAGAATCCTTTGACTGTGGGATATATCACCTGCTGTGTGCAGAGCAGCTCAATGTGTGCTCAGAGAGCAGCTGTGAGGCTCACTGCTTATTTGTCTGTATAGAAATACATTTCTTTGCAGCCATGATAAATATTATCAAAGTTTTTGCACTCTTGTTGTGTTTGCCCTACTACTCTCTGTCATTTTGCACTACAGGTCTGGCTTTATTAACCTCGACAAACCTTCCAATCCATCTTCCCATGAGGTGGTTGCATGGATCAGACGCATCCTTCGAGTAGAGAAGACTGGACACAGTGGCACTCTGGATCCTAAGGTGACTGGGTGCCTCATTGTGTGTATTGAAAGGGCAACACGACTGGTCAAATCTCAGCAGAGCGCAGGTATGTTTATTGCTCGGGATCATTTACAGTCTAATTGACTGGGGAGGTGTGGAATTTTTTTGGAGACGAAATGGAGATTTCCAGTCTTTGAAAAGGCTACCCTTGGTCTTCAGTGCCTTGAGCTTAAGGGTTGCTTATCCTTCTCACTCTAAGCCAGTGAGAGCCTATCCATGCTGTCACAAGTTGGTGTTTTTTTGTTTTTGTTTTGTTTTGATTGCTTCTCTGGGGCTTATGCAGTTTTAAGTCAATGAAAACACTTCTAACAGACTGGTTTCACATAGTAGCTTACAGCCTCGGCCTCTACCAATCCAGTGAAATAAAACTTGGTGAAGAAATAAATGTAGCTTAGGTTTATTTTACTGGAAGAATAACCAACTCTGTAAAAACTGTGTGCACTTCCTAGGAGAGGTGGTTGTGAAAATTTCAGGGCTCTGTGGATGTGTGGCTGTGAAGCAGTGTAGACCTTAAGGTCAACATTAAATGCAAGTGGCCACTCCTGACTGCTCTTGTCGTTCTTTCAGGCAAAGAGTATGTGGGAATTGTTCGGCTGCACAATGCAATTGAAAGTGAGGCTCAGCTTGCCCGGGTAAGTCTCGGCATGCTCTTAACCATGCTGGCACTTTACATGCAAAGTGTTCAGCGTTGATGGGAGATAAGAGGGTAGGAGCGGAGCTCAGGTGCGCTCTGTGTGTGAGGTGATGACGAAGTTTATCCATTCTCTGAGTGCAGTGGTGCTGCCCTCCTGCAGCACCCTGATTCCTGTTCTAGGCTCTGGGTGCTGCGCAGCCTCCAGAGACCCTCCAGTCTCCCAGTGTCCTACTGGGGGCTGCTGGGGTGTGTGGCTGGGGGCCGCGGTTCTGGCAGGGTTGGAGCCTCTCTTTGCGGGGGGCTCCATCCTCACTGAGATGAGGGATAATGTCTGATCACACGCTGCTACCTGATGAAGAAGCCCAGCCGTGGTCACTGGCAGCTGGGGTAGCATTTTGACCACATCACTGGTTCAGATCTGCTTTATTAAATATGACATCACAAAATTACGATGAACCTTGTGGTTTCTCATTCATGGAAGTGGTTGTAGTTGCTGGATACCCCAAGGTGCTCCTACTTCATGGCACAGGTGTGAGCTGTTACTTCTTCTGCATCTACCCTCAGGCAATAGAAACTCTGACAGGCGCGCTGTTTCAGCGACCACCCCTCGTTGTTGCTTTTAAACGACAACTGAGAGTCAGAACCATCTATGAGAGCAAGCTGGTCGAGTATGATCCTGAGAGAAGATTAGGTAAAACAGGGCTTTCCTGTCGTCTTCCTGTTAAGCTAACAGCTGATAAAATTTCCTGTGAAATGGGCTGCTTCCTATTCTTGACCGACGTCTTAAGACATATATCCTCATCACCATCAAGCAGTAACTGTTCCATGCATGCTTTGGTGTGTTAAGAAGCAAATCCCATCTATTATTTGTACTGTTGCATCCTTCATTGAAGAGCCAAATGATGTCAATTAGATGGCATTAGCACTTGGTGCAAAGATGACCTTCATCTATCACCCCAGGCTGATGGCTCTGTGAAGGGTTGGACATACAGCTTCTCTCAGAGGGAGTTTCTAGGTATCTATTTAAATAGTCTTCTATCCTGTCCTGCATTTCAGGTATCTTCTGGGTGAGCTGTGAAGCGGGCACATATATCCGAACACTCTGCGTTCACCTTGGTTTGCTGCTTGGTGTGGGGGGCCAGATGCAGGAACTCCGCAGAGTGCGCTCAGGCATCCTGGGAGAGAAGGTAAGAGTGGTAGCTCTAACTATAACCACCAAATTTGAAATGGTCAGAATTGCAACAGTTCCTTGGAACTGTACTAGTTTTACAGTGTTAGGAGAAGGTATAGTTGTGCAGCAGCTGGGAGGAGTTTTGTGAATAGCCCCAAAAACATGGGAGCTCTTGCCATAATGGTCTGTAACCAAAGCGTTGAGTTCAGTTCAGGGTGTTGCCCCTGTTCTGGTAATTAAGCTTTGGGACAGTGAGTGGCTGGGAAGTGCACCATGGTGACTGAAAGTTTATTTTATGCCACCTGCATTTCTCAGCCTACAAACCATGCGTGTGCCACGAGTCAAGGCACGTGAGGTGTCTGCTTGGCAATCTGTGACAGCTTGGTGTCGGGGCACAATGCAGAGAACGCGCTTCATTGAAATGAGCTTGGGAGATGCAGTCTTGTGTGATCTTGGACAGCTTTACAGTGTTTTCAGTCTGGTCGTAGCTGGATCCTGCTGCCAGTCCAAACTCCAGAACTAATTTCTTTCCTTGCAAAGCATGAGTATTAGAGTGCAAGTGCTTCCCTGTCCATCTGTGTTCTTACCACAGCTGTAATCACTGGCAGTCATTTCTGAATTCTGGTGTTAAGTGCTTACAGCTGCTTCAAGAATTTATTCCATGTCACAGATTGAAGAGCTGGTTAATTTAGACTTCTACTCAGTAATCTTTGTCTAGATGTCCCAGGTATTTAAGTTTGGTCATATTTCAAAGTTTCATGGGGACAGACCTTATACACTAGATCCAAGTGCTGTCTGAGATTAGGAAGGTTGAAGTCTGTGGTAGCACAAGTCAGGCTGATCTCAAGCTGTTGATGGAAAGTATTCTTGCCTCTTTTAGGATGCTTTTTTGATGCTTCTGAGTTGACCATCTGTTTTTCACTCCTTTTCAGTACACTATTTGCTTTTGGTCGTTAGCTGGTTTCTTGTGTGTATTTCGAGTTGATGGCTGGTAGAGTTTAGAGGGGTTGTGTCTTTGCAGGACAACATGGTGACTATGCATGATGTACTGGATGCACAGTGGCAGTACGATAACAACAAGGATGACAACTACCTGCGAAGAGTTATCCTGCCACTGGAGAAACTGCTGACTTCACACAAGCGGCTAGTCATGAAAGACAGTGCGGTGAGTTCTTGAGACACTGCCAGCTGACAGCTAGAGACTACAAAGTGTCCTCCTAACTTGTACAGCTAGTATAATAAATGGGGGATCAGGATCAACGTGGTGTCCAATGCTGTCCTGATTGTGAGCTGTGTAGGACCTCGTCTGGGCCACTGCCAGGTCAGCAGTAAGATGCCAAGAATTGAGTGGCAGAGAAGCTGCTCTCCTCACTTCAGGAGGAGGCTGATGGTTAAAAGAGATCTGCCTTGCATGTTGTTTGCTATGATTGGTGCATTGCTTGCTTTTTCCAAGGCCCCCAAGGTTTATGTAGTGGACAATAAGAAATAGATATGTAGGGATGTTATTGCTGGAACAGTAATGGCAATGGAAAGCTAAAATAGTAGAGGCACTTCTTACCTTGTTTTTATTCTCTAATAATTCATAAGCCCTCCTGTTCCCTACATTTGCAGGTTAATGCCATTTGCTATGGAGCCAAGATTATGCTGCCTGGTGTCCTGAGGTATGAAGATGGTATTGAGCTTAATCAGGAGATTGTTGTCATCACCACGAAAGGAGAAGCTATCTGCCTAGGTAAGAAACTCTATGTTCTTGTGCACAGCAAACTGCAGAAATAACAGACTCTGTTGCAGTGAATATACAACAACTGAGTCCTCACCTAAATAGAGGTTCCTAGTGGGGACTGTGGGTTAGTATGGCCCAAGGCAGCTGGTGTTGAGCAGGATGTTAAGAAACAGCAGCTGCATCAGTCCTTGGCAAGGTGTGAAAAGTTCCTCGGCCTGGTTTCAGCTGTGTGATGCTCAGGTGCACTCTGTGTGTGAGGTGATGACGAAGTTTATCCATTCTCTGAGTGCAGTGGTGCTGCCCTCCTGCAGCACCCTGATTCCTGTTCTAGGCTCTGGGTGCTGCGCAGCCTCCAGAGACCCTCCAGTCTCCCAGTGTCCTACTGGGGGCTGCTGTGGTGTGTGGCTGGCTGCCTGCAGGAGTGAAGTGGTTCTGGCAGGGTTGGAGCCTCTCTTTGCGGGGGGCTCCATCCTCACTGAGATGAGGGATAATGTCTGATCACATGCTGCTACCTGGCACATCACACTTCCTGAGCAGATCAGTGTAAAAGGACTTGAGCAACCACCAGTTTTTATGAAGTGACTCAAAAGGGTGCTTTGTTCTAACCAGCGTCTTCAAGGAAGCTGTGTAGGTGGCAGGTGCTGACATACTGTACAGATGGTCTGTCATGGTGCTCAGTGCTTGCATGGCCTCATGCTCTGTCCAGACCCATGGGACTGAGTGGCCTTGAAAGTGTAACACAGCCAAGCCATTCCACCGTGTTGTTTGTACTGCCTGACATCTTGAGGACCTGGCAAGAAAAACATAATTTATTGGTAGGATTAATCTCCTGTAGTTTAACTCTGCAAGGCTTTGGGACCTGACAAAGGAGCAACATGGCTTCTTCCTATAGTGGCATGGTTCCTTGAGCTGCCTGGAAGTGCTCCAGCTCACAGAGCTCTTCCCCATCCCATGGTGGTTTTGGTGCTGCTCTGTGAAATGATTGGTTTTACTGTGTTCACTGATCCAGAACCAGTCTTCTGCTGTAGGCCAGAAAGGTCTATGTGGTTAATCCATGACTGATGGACTTGCTGCCTTTGAGCAGGGCTGCTCTCTGAAGTGTTAGTCCAGAACTTAACTTCCAGTGAGGTTTTTGGGGGGAAATGGCACTGGTGGGGGTGTTGCTCCTCTTCATGCTGACAGAGGAAGGACAGGCTGAACACAGCAGGTTCCTGCGTTGCTGTCTCAGTTCTGCTGTTAAAGAGTTAATGAACTCTCTGCCTGCTTCTGCAGCCATTGCCTTGATGACCACAGCAGTCATTTCTACCTGTGACCATGGCATTGTGGCGAAGATCAAGAGAGTGATCATGGAGAGAGACACATATCCCCGCAAATGGGGTCTCGGTCCCAAGGTGAGCAGTGTGGAGAGGTGCAGTCAGTCCCAGGGCAGTGGTGGGAGCCCAGCTGTCAGGGATGTGGGACTCCAGGCCCCTCAGACAGAGCTGTGCCCATGACTTCTCCAGGGCCTTGGAGTAATTCTGCTGTATTCTCCTGGAGCCATGATGGTGGTGCTTCCCAGTGCTGGGGCCACGCCAACCCAGTGCCAGTGGGAGCGAAGCTTTCCCTCCCAACAGGGCCTGGGCAGCTCTACCCAAGGCCCAGCTGGGGCTGTCGCTGGCGCTCAGGCATGGCGTCCTCAGGTCTGTACAGCACCAGCCCTCCTGGCAAAGAGCCAAATGATGTGAAGTAGATGGCATTAGTGCTCTGTGCAAAGATGACCTTCATCTATCACCCCATACTGATGGCTCTGAAGGGGCTGGGGAATGAGCTGCTTTTCCCTTTGGTGCAACTACAACAGTGCCAAAATGCAAACTGTCTTGTTAGACACTAAATTGTGCCTGAAGGATGGGAGCAGTGGGGAACACCCAGTTGGGTTCCTCTACCGTCTCAAGCATGTGGTAGTCATGGAAATCAGCAGGTCAGCAGGGCTAGCTTAACTGCAGCCAGACTGATGTTTCACTGTGGTGAGTGATGCAGCTCAAGACTTAAAACTCAGTGTCAAGTTGCTGTGGCCTACTCCCATTTCTGTGGTTCAGGTGAAACATAGAAAGCTGTGGGGGTGCATTCACATCTGTCTTGCAGCAAATGTGAGGTAATGCAGGCCAGGTCAAGCATCCTGGAGTCTTTAGCAAAGCCTTGCATTTGCAGCTGGAGTGGTTCAGCTGAAATGTGGCAGGTCATTAAGCTGTAGAAATGCAGTCAAAGATCTGAGCTCCATGATGTGCAGAGTCATCTTACTCTGCTGCTGTTACTTCCTCCACAAATTAGCTCTTATTTACTGATGAAGATGCCTCCTGTCTGAGATTTATAGGCTGCTGTGCATGGGAAGTTTTGTGTGATTTGTTAGAAGGTCCTTGGAGAAGTGTTAAATTAGTAACTCTGTAGTTGTTGGCTTGGCTTGTTCCT